CCATTGATCATGGGCGTCAAGTCAGTGCTAGCTGTTCAAACAAGAGAAGTGTTTTTAGGATCTGGCAGGTTGGCAAATTGGATGGTTCTCCATGAGAAGAGGCATCAATGCACGCCCATGATCTGTAGGGCATTGTCCAAGGTACTAACTTATCTCACATGTTTGAGTGCTTTGATGATCTTTCTGTGTCCGGTGGAGGGTTACATCGAGGCTCGATCCAGCCTTGGGGCTACTAATTACAGGTGTCATACGAGTCTGTTATCTGATGTCCTTAATCTTACCTAGACTTAGTAATAGCATACACTATGTCAACACGTCCCTACCAATGTAGGGTCCATTGCACTTGGCCCGATATGCAGCGCTATCAGTCCAGCTTACCGTATATAAGCCTGTTTTTGATGACTCGCTTCTACTGGTAGCGACCCTCTGCATCCGTCAAATCAATGACCACCTTCACAGTGGATCCAGTTAAGTCGATATACTCTTTGAATGTACAAGTAGAACTATGGGCACACCTGTGATCATACATGAATAATAGCTCACTCAATTAACCTACCGATGGCATATTGCATTTTTGAAAGTATGGTACAAGCGAATTAGATGTGATTGTTGGCTAACAAATTGGCAGCAAAGAGGGCATTGAGGATGCCGCTTCAGCTGAGAATTAATGCATATAGCACAAAACAGATGTCCTAGTACACTTTTTTGTTAGTGAGATCAGGTTGCAACTTAGCTGAGACAAAACAAACAAACCACATGGTGTGACCAAGGGTATCACTGTTGCGTCATCAAATTTGAGATGACATACAGGACATGTAGACATGGTGATTGGCTGATTGGTATATATCTGGAGGCTCTATATATATACAAACACCTGGATGTCACTGAATGTAAATATTTATGATCTTATAAGTGTCTTACATGCATGGGAGAGGCGCAACTCTATTGCATTTTCAAAATCTGGGATGAACCAGCGACTATAATAGTAGGAGGCCGTGCTACTGCTTAGTAATTACAGCAAACAAGAGTCATCCTTTGCTTGGCCAAATTCCAATACGATACAAATCCCTCCATAACACTATATTTCACCAGAACTCATCTCTCAGGTTTGCAACATGCTGAGCCAGATCCTTTACATTCAGAGTCTATGTCACCTGTCTGAAGGGGATAGCAAACAACTCAACTTATTAGTACTTGGAGGAGGGTTTACTTTATAGTGCTCGAGGATGTCGATATGGTTTGTTTAATCTTGTTCTTTTTGAGACCCTCTTTAAATTATTAGCTGTGCCTCCGCAGACTTTGTAGCAATCTTCAATTGCAGTGCTCTTAACCTCACACTCCACCACCAGATGGGCATTGTGAGATAAAAATACCTGGATGATTTACTCGACTATTTCCGTCAGAGATGGTAACTCAATCACAGCTCTGGACTACATATCTGGTACTAGTCTCATTGTGGTGTCTGCATGGCCACCAACTAGCAGCCCATACGGCCTTTGGTTACTCTTTTGGCAGGTTCAGCATGATGCGCAGAATGTTCATACATCGGGTACTAGCGTATTCCACCAGATGTATTTCCACAGGTAAGACAGGTCTTTCTTGTGCCTGAATGCACTAATAATGAATGGACTTGGTCTATCAGCAGTTTGCATAGTTTTTGCTCTCCCACCAGAATGTCTGGGATGCATAGCAGTTTCCCATCCTGCAGGTGCAACCTCAGAAGTCCGTGCTGCAGGACAAAATTCTTATAGGACTTAGGTGCGTCCAGGATGGTCTTGAAGAATGGATCTTCCTCATACCCTTTAACTTCAGACAGCATTGCCTCCTTTTCAGGGCATGTTAATGGTTTGGAGTGGTGGCTTGGTCAGCCCTTCTTTCACAGATGTTGTCGTCTGGTATGGCTCAGGCTCAGGGTTTGGCTCCTTTAGGTGCACCCCTCCCTCCTTTCCTTTGACAGGACCCTTAAGGATGAAACGATCGTGCATCCGCCATGCAAATTCAGCCAAAGTCTCGGGTCGACTGGTTTCCATGGGTTCAATGGGTTGTCAGACCCATGGGTGTCATGCAGCAGGGCTGATGGGTAAGCCTGTTGCTTTGTATCAACTCCATTTCTCAGTATCTTAGCAGCATGCTGTATGATGACACGCACTCACTGTGCAACCACCTCATATCTGCTATTCTTACTATGGGAGAAGTGTACCATATCTTCCACCATCAACTTCTCATGGACTACGGGTAGCAGTTGATGTCCCTTGTGTCGTTATTGGTTTTATTCATGATGCATTTTTTTTCCTCAATAGTCATCTGGGAGGACCCTCTCATCTCACACTCTGGGAAAGACGTGACTGCCTCCTTTTTCGGCAGCATTTATGCCCACTCTCGTGTGGCACATAATGTGTGTACCATGTTTCTGCTTGCTGTCCTAATGATGGTAATGATTAATGTTGATCCTCGTCAGCCGATACACGCTCCATTACATAGCTTCTTGTGATGATGCTTGTGGGCATCCTTTAGTCAGTTGTACGTGCTGATGAAGGGAAGTCCTGGCAGGTCATTGAAGGGTTGCCCAAGGGCCGAGGAAGATGAAGGTTAACACGGACCATGTCATTATTCTGGACATTGGTAAGAGGATCTCATTTTGCACGACATGTAGGCTGATTTGTGGTTCATGTTAGCTACTGATGACCGAAATCTTGGTCTTGACTCCACATTCAGAGCCGATTTGAATCCTTGCTATGTTTGCTAGGTTGTCAAGCCATGCTGAGTTTCAGAGGTGTGCAGAGAGCTCACATGGAAGTCACCGCACAGAATGAATACATGGCTGGCAATAATCATGACCCTAGCACACTTTGATAGAGAAAATTACACGGGGAGATGGAACCATCTTATTCTGTTATGCAGGATGAATAGCATTACTTACGCAGGGCCTAGTAATATAATGTATCCTATTGCTAATGGGCAGGAAAATGAGAATATTTGTGAAAGACATGGCCGGTGTCACTCAAATTTAAGTCCTCGAGGACAAACATTGACCTTGGTAGATCAAGTAAGTATCTGGGGTCTTCAGCCTTTTCTTACCCTTTCACCAGTGGCAATTTTCGACAATGAATCCTATTGTCAAAGGCAAATAAAAGGGTATCATTTTCTGAAGCGAGTTGCAACGGTAGATAATGTACCCTTTAAATGCTCATCCTAGGGTTAGATAATAACATACTTTGTATGTCGCATATATGTTAGCCTTTCCATCTGCTAAAAATAATATAAACAAGCCTAGCCTTTAATCAACCCAGATGTTCTTGGATATTGCAAGGCGAAGATTGATCATCTGTTTGCATACAAAAGACCAATGTGTTGATACCATTCTGAATCTTAATACTTCTGACATCTCTTTTGAGAAAAAGTCTAAGGTTCACCCACAGCATCTCGGTTGCAAAGAATTAAATTTAGCACATTCCTCAAAGGCAGCCTTTCAGTTACCTGTCAGTATCAAATATTTGGAAACCTCCCGCCAGTCCTTTTCTGCATGTGTATCTTAACCTATGCAAATAAAAGTTTTGTTTCTGTTAGACATGCCAGTTGGAAGATGATGTCGCTTGAAATAAATGCTTTGTAAATTGACAGTCCATATAGTCATAATGATACATCTAATGTATTGTAATGACCAAGAAAAATAGGATACATTAATGAGGTGAACGAGCAGGTGCTTTTGAGCTACCACAGTGATGTATCCATGAGGAGGATCCCATTCCGCTTCTTACCACTTTAGGTTATGTATCCGATACATTGCTGTTAGGCTATCATTACTGATGTATCTGTTTGCCGGATCATATGAGCGTGGTTTTAGCTGATGTATCTAATACATAAGTGACTGTTAGGCTACATACTGACTATCCTACTGATGTATCCATTTGGCAGATCATATGAGCATGGGTACTTCCGGGTCCTTGTACTAATCCTTCACCGTTTTAGGTGATGTATCTGATACATTACTGTTAGGCTATCATACAGACTATCCTACTGATGTATCCGTTCGGCGGATCATACAAGCACAGGTACTTCCAGGTCCTTGTGCTCATCCTTCACCGTTTTAGGTGATGTATCTGATACATTATTGTTAGGCTATCATACTGACTATCCTACTGATGTATCCGTTCGGCAGATCATACAAGCGCGGGTGCTTCCAGGTCTATGTACTCATCCTTCACCATTTCAGGTGATGTATCCGATACATTACTGTTAGGCTGTCATACTGATGTATCCGTTCAGTGGCAGGTTGTCCTTCTCTACCATTTAGGTGATGTATCTGATGCATCTGAGTTGTTGACTCACTTGCTGCTGTTAAGGAGGCTAATTATTACCTGTTCCTTCTCTACCATCTAGGTGATGTATCCAATACATCATTTTAATGGGCTATCATACTGATGTATCCATTCAGTGGCAGCCTGCCCTTCTCTACTGCTGAGGTGATGTATCTGATACATCCAAGTCGTTTTGACTCACTTATTACTATTAGTATTAAGTAGGCTAACAATTATGATCATACTAAAGTGATGTATCCGATACATTGTAGCTCATTCAGCCATGTTTGAAATTAGATTTTGCACATGGACCTCACAGTCGGCACTCGTTGACTATGTCAAGTCATCAATGTTTGATAGTTCCATGTTTCACTTTAAACACCCAGCGTGAAAGGTAGAAACAATATATTTGCATCTGACAAAACCCTTCTCCCACTAACTGTGGCGAGTCGGGGATGCAACTACATAAGTACATATTGTAGATAAGATATTTGATATCAAAAGGAAGTGTATGTAACGACTTAGACATTTTTTTGCTTCCTGTACAAATATAATTAGTTTTCAATGCTCCAGAGTGTTAGCATTGAGTACGACTTACTTCTTATAAGCACCGTTTACAGCAGAACTCCCCTGTTTTCTTGAGCTGGCAATCTCTGACCCAAGTGAGTTGGCAATTTCATTGTGCTTGGAAATTTGCCGAACTCATTTGCCATGACTGACAATCAGTGATACGGTTACCTTGCTGGAGGGTATAGGCTCTGCCGAGGTGGAGCTGGACACAGGTGCAGACTCTGCCGAGGTGGGACTGACAATCAGTGACACGGTCACCTTACTGGAGGGTGTAGGCTCTGCCAAGGTGGAGCTAGACACAGGTGCAGGCTCTATGGATGTGGACATGGGGGAAGGCTCTACTGAGGTGGACACAGGTGCAGGCTCTGTATCTGTGGACATGAGGGAAGGCTCCATGGAGGTAGACTTGGAAGGAGCCCGTGGATGTGACTTGACAGGAATGGAGGGAGTTTGTGAATGGGACTCAACAGGAACCATGGCATCCTTCGTGATAAGATCAGTAATCATGCTGGATGACTGCCTACCTTGTATATCAGACTGAGAAGGTGTATTGACCTGACAGACAGGCAAAGGTGAAGCCTGCTGTGGTGTGATGTTATTATTTGCTGATGAGGCGACCTCAGAGATACTAAGCGGCTTTGGCATAAGAGAGGTAGAAGGCAGTATGGGCCCATGTGTGGGAGGCAGTGGTGATTGTATTTGTGGAATTTCCCGAGTCCCGTACATACTCAAGAACTCATAGAATCCTTCTGCAGCCAGCATCAAAGAGATAACATTGGAGCCCAAGTGCATCGAAGAGACAGCATCAGAATCCAAGTGCATCTGAGAAGCTGAATGCAAAGGACATAATGGGGGCATTGTTGATAATGGAGACTGAGAAGACGAGGATCCGAGCGGTTTGGATTCATGAGGAAATGATGTGGAGGACACCATTAAGATATCACGTGGGAATTTTTCTACCATCTCTGATACATCATAGGTGCTGTCGACGTCTTTCAATAACTCAGGCTCTAGTGTCGAATGTTGACTTGCACTATAAACACTTCCTTGCTCCTTTACTGCTGCAACCGCTATCAAGGCACAAGTCAGGAACATTCCAAATTTGGTTTACCGCACAGGTCAGACTCGGACTTATGAAACATGCACTTGGTGAACTCTTTCCATGGCCGCATGATCCCTGAGTCAAACTCAGGATATACTTGGTCGAACTGATTTCCAACTTCAGTCGCACCAACATGAAAACTCTGGACGACAATCTTCCCTCCCATGGCTGGTGTTGGGCCACCCATAAGGACTGTGAAAACATAACCGGTAAGCCTCTAAAGCTCATTGAAGAATTCTGTGAGTGCACCAGGGAGTCTATCAATATATCTGTAGATGCAAGTTGCAGGTGAGCACTGGTACTCATGCCGATGTGTAGTTTCAACTGACACTTGATGGTCAACCACCTCTGCGCCCTTTGTCTCCTCCAACTCTGTCTTCTTCTTTTGCTTTGCTTCTTCAATGAACATCGCTACCTGTTGTTTGACGTCATCGGATGCTGAGTTATACAGCAAGCTGGTTTGCTTTTTGATAACCATTAGCTTAGATTGGGATCTTTACCTCTGTTTTCTCAGCTGCAAGCCTTTGCCTCTGCCTCAGCTTTTGCTGTCGAGAAGGCAAGATCAAGAGTGGGCTTGATTATATTGTCAAAGAACAACTTTGAGAACACCTCTGTTGCTTGTGGACCACGGACAGGTCTCGTGTTGCTCATCATCTGGGCAACCATACTCTTTCTACTAATTACGGCTGTCATTAGGTATGTGCTCGTGGACGTGCCCGCTGTGGTCACATCTGCAGTCATCATTCTATTATTGCGGTTTTTGTTGTGACAGTTGACTTTAGATGAGCCCATATCATTTTTGAATTTATTCATGATTTGCTGATATCACAATTCTCATAAGGGCACGTGTTTGACCTAAGAATATTACAGTCATGTACCTGTTGACGGTTTTTGACAGCCTTGCCAACCACAGTCTTTTCGCTCGACCGTCAACTCAACATCGAGGGGGATAGATGTGAAGCCATTCTGGGAATTTCTCGAACCATTCTTCGAATACTGGCTTCCAAAATCCAGTATAGTTGCGCTTTGCTTGACATACTTGGTATTTAGCTGGGTGTTCTTGAAAGAAAGTTTCTTCTTTGGGGGTAGCCCACTTTGGCGGTGCCATCTACTATTCATTGTAAGTGACATAACCCTTATGTGAATATTTAATAACACCCATGGTTTTAGTTCAAGGTGTCGATGGGCAAGCGAAATGAAAAAGAGAATGAAGGCTATCGAAGCACTCGTTTGGGGTGTGCATGATGCATGGACCATAGAAGTGTGTCTGATACAAGATTTAGGTAGTTAAATTTCTATCTATGTACCCTGTATAGAGCTGGGGCCTATACGCCATTACTGTCATTGTTGTTCTCATAGTTAAAATATAACAGTAGCATCTTAGAAACTTTGAGATTGGGAAATGAACACAGTTAAATGATTGCTCGAAAGATGCCTCAGCAGCTTGTACAGTTAGAAGTTAGTAAGTAGCAGTAGTTTTGAATTATTAAGTGGCTGTCATTCTACAGTTTTGGTCCGACTACAAACCAAGTTCTAGGTTGTCTGCAGTGTCTATGTTCATGGTGTGCGCATATCTAACATATAACATGAACCTAATTCAAGCCATTGCCTCGATTCAAGGCTTAACTGTATTATGATATCATAGATCAGTATCTGTATTGATAGCTAGCTATGTATAATATTATTAGTTTCCGTCTGACTACTATCAAAGGTATGACTCCGTGCCATGGTTCAAGAAGTTACTGCTTCTTTTCAACCTTTTTCTACCAACCACCATCACAATGCTACAGCCTCTGCAACCAAAATTATGCCACATCCTCCTATTCATACGACACTTGAGGCAAAATGGCAAGCAAGTCGTGAAAAAAACCAACACCATTATGAAAAGTAAGACTAATCACTCATATTAATTGTGTCTGATCGTCCCTGACTGGTCAACCAATTGAAGGAATAGAGACAGAATCTTAAGCTGGTGGAGACAACTTTGTGTTGAACAGAACACGGGGCCATCAGAGCTCCAGAAAGCAATTACAAAAGCCCTGCGTAGCTATGACTCCGATGAACATGAAGATGAAGATCAGCTGGAGACATTAGGCAATTCTAGTGAGGAGAACGATGACGACACACCATATGTCATTTTATAAATAGAAAGTAAAATGAACATGAAATTAATAACCCACAGATACAGATCGGATCTTCCGGAATGTCTGCTTGCTATAAAAAGGATCAAAGACAACATGTTGTCGTTGATTGATGAACCTTGCACATTCACTGAGGCACTCTTGCTTCAGTTTGTAAAAAGCATTACATACACAGATGACCGCGCTGACGATGGTGATCAAACCATTGTCCCGGATATGATAGCCAAGGTCTGACACTTACTCAATCAAGCCATCCCTGTTCAAGACAAAATCCATAATTTCTGTGGTTCCTTAGCAGCTGAGTTTAGTGCTGCTAACTTTGATGTAGAGGGGATTTCAGAACTCTGCATTGCTCACTCTATGGGGGAGTTAATGTATCAGAAGGGTTATCATCTCTGAGTCTTTCCATTGAGTGGCCTCTGTACAATTGTAAATCATCTAGTATATTTTTGCACCAATGTAACTTGATTTCACCTGCATGTGACAGTGGACATGGCTCTTTTTGATTCCAGATGGTCTTGAGCCCATGATATGCTGACAAATCATATGACATTGCCTGCCAGTGGCATAAGAAACTTTGGACCCATATGACATTGATGCCAGCCCAACTGCACCTCAACCATGAAAACAAGATGATTCGTTTTTTTGTTCCAAAATTTCATCTTAAGGCCCATATTCAATCATGTTAAACGGCATTCTCATTCAACTTTGGGAAGGATGTCGGATGCACGGATGGGGAAGTGCCTGAGAGAGGGTGGGCAAATATTAACCGTGTGGCATCAAGTATCAAGGAAATGGGGCCAGGAGCACGCCGCAATACATTGGACAACCACTTTTCAGACTGGAACTGGAAAAAAGTAACGATACTTGGTGGGTTGGTGACTGGACTGTTTCATTCTCATTCTCATGGAATTGCAGGGCAAAACATGCTCCACAAAATCAAAGAAGCTTCATTGAGAAGAGCTTGATGAACTACAACAATCAATTCCAGCATCATCACTCTCTGTTTGGAGTCAGAGATTGAGGCATGGGAGGAAGACAACACATGGCCAAACCCATTTGAGAGTAGGGTTGTCCATGAGTTTTTCTCTCTATTGATTTATTCTGAAACTCAATTACATTGGACAGCCATGACTCAAGATGCTATACGCCACCAGCTGGCTGAAAAGGAGGCTACAGACTTACAGGCTAGTGTAGATGTCTCATTACACACTGACATCTCCCCTAGTGTCCTCATCGCATTGGGTATTGACTTACAAGATCAGCAGTGAGTATTGCAATATTTGCGGGAACCTCCTCTCATGAACGAAAAAAATAGATGGTGTTTGGCTGCAGACATTTCTGCTTTGGGTCAGCATGCAACCGACACACAAAATACCAAAATATATATTCAAAGCAACGCTCTGCAATGTTGACTGGACAATTGGGCTCAAATCCAAGTTCTTTACATGCCTGCAGTTGCTCTGATCCGAGCCACAGAGGAAATCCATCATTCTGAAGGCATCGCAGCACTCAAACCAGAGCAATTTCAGCTCTGGTTACCATCCCAGCTTGCATCCCATGACCCACACCTTCCCTGCGACAAAAAACTTCATGAATGTGAATGGGAACTCTGGTATGCCCAAGCCCATGATGCATTTAACAATGTTCGACAGCACATTCACTTATTTGCTCACCTCAACACATTCAAGACAGCAAATATATGTGGTCAATGTGCCTCCACTCATGCGCGCACCGCTCTCAATCACACGATTGAAAAGAAGCATGCTAGCAAGCATAAATATCATGCTGCTCACGATGCACTCATTGCCCTTGCTCCCTTACTCAGAAAGGTTGGCCGGACTGATATCTTACGCCCTCTTGGAGTAACAGATATGAGGCCTATGGGTGACTTCATTCAAGGACAATCTGAAGGTACTCGTGATATACTGTGGATATGGAAGACACCCGGAGTGCTGCAAGACAATACTTTAGGACTGTATGTATCACAATATCACTATTTGAAAGCTGCGAAGTTGACGGATGGCTGACAGGTCTTCGCATTGAGTGGTGCAAGGCAAGAGTGCAAGAGGCATGTTGGTCCGAAGAATTGCTGCTGTTGCTTGAAGAGATGTAGAGGGTGCTGACCTTCTTAGCCTGGCAGGGTAAATGGTGGTCCAGACTGGCTTCGGCATGTCATTTAGAGAGATCAGCAGATAGTGAAGGATCTGCCACTTCAGTCAACCCCTTAAATAGACCTCTTAGGTCTATGTGTTTGTGGCTAGCAAAGGACCTAGTGGGTGTGTTCTAGAATGGTATTCCCAGTATTTTACTCTATGTACTGGGATATCCCAGTCCACACTGAAGCAAGTATCTGGGCCATCCCAAGGACCTATCTGTGATCTTTCCCAATCCCAACTGGGATCACTCCAGCATGTCTCTGGAAAGTCCCAGGGCATTTATTAGGTGGGCTTTCCCATCATAAATAGGGGTAATAGGGGTCCTTTTTCAAACAATTTCGGGACATTGGAATCCACAATTCTGTACAATCATGGGAAGTAGTGGTGGATATGTACATCTGTAAAGTAATTAGTACAGACATAAAATAAATTCAGGCCCTTGAATGATAGCACTAATGCAGCCTAGATAACTTAAACACATGTATTGCCAAATTACTTATACACTATATAGCAAAAACAGTGAATAGGTACATTATGTGGCCAGTACTGCCAAATGAATAATGTGTGCTTACAATAGTGTATTGCACCACTAAAGACTCTCAATACAATGGACACCTATATATTCTAGCTATTTGTGAACAGTTTTTGAATGTCAATGCTGCACACTTTGAGGCATAATTTTCAAATTGCCCAAAATAGGGTGTTTTGGGCTCTCCCACTTGTCATTCTATTGGCGACCAGGCCTTCCCACCAACCCTGTCCACACCATTTGGGCTCTCTCACCTATCATTTTATTAGCAACTGGGTGTTCCCACCAACCCTATACATATTATCTGGGCTCTCTCACCTGCCATTTGATTAGCAACTGGGCCTTCCCACTAACCCTATCAACACCATTTGGGCTCTCCCATCGACCATATATATGTTATCTGGGCTCTCCCGCCTATCATTATATTAGCAACTAGGCCCTCCCACTGACCATATACACATCATCTGGGCCCTCCCACCTGTTATTATATTAGCAACTGGCCTTCCCGCTCACCCTACCAACACCATTTAGGCTCTCCCACCTGTCATTCTATTAGCAACTGGGCTATCCCACAAATCCTGCTCAGTGTCAAAATTAATTAGTTGTCACACATAACATGCATAGATTTTTCCCCTCCAAAATCAGTGCA